ATGGATTTTATTTTTGTATCCTCAGAAAAATATTTTTTAATAAGGATAGCTTTGATCCTGAGGATACACCTTATCCTCAAGAAACCCTTTATAAGAAAAAAAATATTTAAAAAAAACTCACAATGTGTTGAAAAATATACAGATAGCGGAATTAACAGGGACCACCGGAAAAACCAGGGACCAGACTAATTATAGCTATTAAATATTAAGCGGATTTTATACAATAAAACGGGCAAAGATATAAATAAATGTGTATTTTTCTTATTATTTGGTCTTAAAAACGGTTATTTTTCGGGATAAAAAAATGAATATGTTGTATAAAGTATGAATGAACAATAACTTAATGTGAGCTAGAATAGTAAGTTTATTATTATTAATTATTATTAATTGTTATAAAATTATAAAATATTATTCTTTTGTTCAACCTTGTTTAACTTCAACACAACCATTCAATTAAATCGTTCATTCATTATTTCAAAGAAGATGTTGTAGTCTTCTCTATTCACTCGGTTGATTCAATGAGTCACTTTTTGTTCAGCCATAAAAGTAATTCATGCTGTTCATGACAATAAAGAAAATAATGAATAAATTATTAAAATGTTAGACACTCAGTAAATGATTGATGATTATCTAACGTATTAAACAATAAGAGATAAATCAATATAAAAAACAAACACTACTTTGGCTCGGCTGGGCATTAACAAATAAGATAGCTCTGAATGATTAATTAAGAGTTTCATATTTTATATTTTTTTTATTTTATTTAAAAAAACAGTGTGTTTATTAATACTTGGTCCCTGGTTTTTGAAAATAAACCAACACATCCTCCAAAACCCTGATTATTTGGGGATTTTTCTTCAACAAGGAAACTTTATACCATAAATAAAACAGCTCAATTTAGTCTGGTCTCTGGTTTATGATTTGGTCACTGGTTTTTCCTGTATTTGTACTATATAATCAAAAGTACTTTTATTTTTTATTTTGAATGAGTTCCATGTAAGAAAATGATGCTTTTTCTTGTTATTTTTTGATATTATTATTTCGAATTAATATATTATTTTTTTAAAAAAAACTTCGATTTAAAAAAACATTTGTATTACCATAAGTTAATAATGTGAATCATATACATTATTACAGTTTTTTTAAAAAGAAAAATGTAATTTGTAAAGTCATTCTGAATAGATGTGTAACTTTATTTTTTCTTTGTTTTTTATTCACAACAAAGGTAAAACTCTATTTTTCAACAATAACAACAACAAAAAGTAGAATTGGGTTATAAATCAACATAAAATATAACTCGATTATTAAATCATAAGTTCACATGTTTGTTCTTATGAATAGCATGAGAAATTCCGATTTCCAATTGTCATTCAAAACGAAAAAAAACGGCGTTGTATATCGATTGTGGATGGCGCAGATGTTAAACATCTCTTTATAAAAAAAGTAAATAATGAGACAAGCCGATTCGTGTAATTCAAAGACTCTTTCGCTGCAAAATTACAATAAACACGAGACTGTTAAATGGTGTAACCCAAAAAATATAATTGAAAAAAGTGTGCAACTTTGGTTATAATTTAGTTATAGTATATTAATAAGAGTAATAGTTTTAAAGAAATTTGTTTGTGTTTTCTTGTTTTGTTTTATAAATACATATAATTGTATTATAATAATTATATTATTAACAAAGTTGCACTGACACGTCAAAGTTGTACGGTTTAAAGAATGATTTTATTTTGAAATTGTTGTTTGAATATAGGATCATTGAGTATGATGCTTTCATTGTTATCAACTGAATACTCATTTTCACAACAATAAAGTCCTCTGTTTTTACTATATTGTGCCCATAAGCCATGCATAAAGTAACCTTTTTAACACCATTCGTTATTAATGGCAAACTACAAATTTGTTTGTCGCACCTTTCAACGGGCCAATATTGAACAAACAACAAAAATTCATAAAGATTTTCTTGTTTAAAATACTTTTGGCACATTCTACAATTTACGAGTTGAATAACTGTTTCTGTAAGTAATACTCCGTGTTTATATTCTTCATAAGTCAAAGATGGTAATTTAGGATTTTCTTTTCCCTTTTCATATTTCTCATGACATTTCTGTTGTATTTTTCTTTCTTTGCTTCCGACTTCTTTTGTTTGTTTTTGGACGAGTAGATAATGAGGTTTCATGAATTGAGTCTGATACTTTGGACGTTGAAAAGTCAGAATCATCAAAAAGATCAGGTTGATCAAAAAAAGATTATAATATAGTAACATCAAAAAACACTAAATATACATTTATTGAATAAAAAGGTATAATTTAAATAAAAGTTTTTATTATTTTTAACTTAAGTCATTTCAAGTTAATCTTATAAATATGATAACATTTACTATATTATATAATTAAAGTATATTTTAAAATAATATAATTAATTTTAAAATAAACACATACATAATAAACTTTTCATTATTTTTTTGTATGATATTTTTTTAAATGTTTATATAGTTAATATAATTATTTGGTTATGAATTAAATTTTATTGTTTTTTAGTTTATATATATTTAATTATTTTTAAAACAACAAATATATATTTTTTAATCATTATAAAAACGAGGCCGAGTTGTTAGGATACGATAATATGTATTAAGACGGTAACTTCGTATCTTTTCCAAAGTGTCTTGACACGTTATTTACTTCGACGTGACCCATTAATGCTTTACAAAAGAACTCTGCAAGAGTATCTTCCGACTCACTTCTTTTGACAAACTTAAGTAACCGGACAAAGCTAAGTGCTTCTTCTCTCGACCTCAAAGTTCCAAAAGCGCCAAAAGCGGAAGGTACAGCAAATTTTTACTATTTTTAGGACCACGTCCTTGGTACGATATTTTTGAGTAACATCTTTTAGTCTTATTTCGATTTGTCAATTCCACAACACCATCAAAGGTATTAACGTTGTAAGTCTGGTCGTCTTCAGCAAACAAAAAATAGTCCGACATTGAATCACTCAAAGCCTTTAATAACCCACTAAGAAAATAATAATTGATCTTCATATGCTTCATGTATCTCTGCCATTTCCATCGAGGATTTCCATTTCTTAAATCCGTAGCCGAGTAAAAATCAGCAACCCAATCTGTGAAATTGGTGCCATCTTTTTCTGTTGGACTGAAGTGAAGTTCTTCCACATTAATCGATTTACTATATTTCATAGCAAATTCAGTAACAATGTCATCCATATCACTAAACGAACAGTTCTGACACCCTCGTATAAAGAAGATGTTGCGTACAGATAATTCTTCGGGAACATGATCTAAAGCTATAGAAAGATCGCGCATTGATAGTTTCAACATAGGTTGAGTCTTTGGGCCAGCTACAACTATGATCGAGAGTGTCTTTGCTGAGACTAGAAAATTAAAAACAAGAATGTAAAGGAATAATTTCATTCTGATATAGTTCGATTAGGTTGCAGGTTCATCCATTTATTTGATTCTAATATTGGTTCTCTAGACAATAAACATTAAAAAAGGAAATTTTTAATAAATATACTTTAAAAATTATATTTAAGAATAATTGATTGAAATTATTTTATTTGATGTTGTGAACCCAAAAAGTGTTTTTAATACCTATTTAATTTATAAATGTGAAAATTTCGTATTTTTGAATACAAATATTTTTGAAAACAAGATAAAGTTTATTATTAATTTATTATAATTAACTTATAGTTCTAATAATACCAAAAACTGTTTTTCGATTAGCAATATTTATTGATTACTATTAATTTTTATTATATTATAATAATTTATAATAAAAATATAATTGGTTTTTCATTATATCTGTTTTATATTATAATTGTGTGTTATAAATAACAAAAACAAAATGACTATATAACCGAAATCTATTAAATTAAAAACAAATGAACAGTTGGTTTTAAAATGGAAAAAAGAAAAAAACAAACAAGACAACCAAATCATTCAAAATAATATAAATGTTATATTTGATTGTAAAGACATGTCAAATTATTAATAAAGTTAAAATGAAAATTAATACAAATAACATTACAACATATTGTTAACACACGGTTTTTGAACATTACCCAATACATTTTGACAATATAAATATGATATTTCGGTAACAATAAACCAAACCAAAATATTTC